GTTAAATGAAAACTCATAGGGTTTGCCAGCTCAACTGGAAGTGCATAGAACTTAGAATGTGTCAGTAAACACAACATGTTATCAACCTCAGGTCGCCTGCTAGTGATAATTAAAAGGATCATTGTCGGTTGACTCTTGAAACTCTCAAGATCAATAAGACTCCCACTGACTTCTTGACATATGAGTTTTTCTCTCAAGAAACATTCCTTGACGAGCTAAAACAAATATTCAAAAGATTGTGCGGATTTCCAACAAGAAAACACTTTATAGAATAGGTCTCAGTTTATCTTTTGTTTCTCGATCAACGAAAACATTACAACTTCAATTCTAAATGTGCTAGAGTAAGAAAACATTATTACTCCACATATTACGAGGTATTGTTATCCTTTTTAGTTTTGAAATGAGTTTCAAGATTTGATTCATATTTACTAGAGCATGGCTCTAAAACTTTGATTGGGAACAAAGTATAACTCATTTTATGCTCGAACCATTTATAAAAATGTTCTATTCCTCTTCTTAGTCATACAATTGCACTAAGATGTTCTTGGAGTATTTATTGTGATACAATTTCACAATTAGTAAGACGATCATAAAACATTATACTAAAGCATTCTCCTTTCTTTTCAGATTGGAGAATCTTTTATCTTATGGCCTGACAATCTATTCGTTCGGCTATTCTTTGAACTTTTCAAAAAATATTAGAATTCTGTTTAATCTTATAAACAAAACCATATTTATTGAAACATCATTGTGGTGGATCTGAAGAGTGCATATCAACATGTACTAGATCCATTAGTCATTCACTTGCTTCACATAAACATGTGAACAATGATTTGAGTCATAATTTTCCAATGAACAAGAATCTCATATATAATACAATTCGAATTGTACGATTCCAAGTATCAGTCTAGTTGGTAATGAGATTTACTTTCACTTGGTTAATTATCATATTACCACAAGCGATATCATAAGAATCAAATCCATAATTAATTTTGATACTATTAGAAACATAATCAACACTTTCATTAATGCCATTGCAAGGAAATAAGATAAGGAAACTATGTAAACCAAAACTTCATTTTATTGCTAAAAAGAAAATTGGAACTTGTCCTTACAATGCATAAAATGAAAAACTATATTTCTAGACATTTCTGAAGAGTGATAGTAATCTATTAAATTATCCTAACTCCCTAGTAGTAGCTCCAAATTCTAACCATCGAACCATGTGACTAAAGTCCATTTCCCACGATCAGATTTAGCTCATTTCACTTAAGCTTCCTTCTTCCTTTTAGATCCTGCAATACCATCCAAATGTGATCATCACATTATGTATTAAGAGTCTAAGAATAGGAACTTACAAAGCAATGATCATCACATTATGTATTAAGAGTCTAACAATAGGAACTTACAAAGCAATGGAGTTAGATAATGGATGTACCTAAAGTAGAGTCATACGAATTGGCATTACCATATCTGAGATCCTTCAGGTACTTTGGGTAGCTATGCAACCAGTGTCCCTTCAATTGGCAGTAGAAACAAATGGAATCTTTAGGTTTAACACATGGAACAATCCCAGAACAATCCTTTCTCTTAACCATACGATCAAATTGTTTGACCTTAGACGACCCTTTTCCACTTGTAAGAGAAATATTTTCTTGATCACCAATGTCACCATTGCCAATGTCCATGGAAACCTTCGAATTAGACCCTATAAGCATATCTGCTTCAGATGTGTTCTTAAGCAATTCTGCCTCAATAACCACCAAAATTTGGGTCAGATCTATTCGGGTCACATCAAGATTCCTCATATAAAAGTTCTCAATGAACTGACCATACGACTTAGGAAGCGAGATAAGAACCAAATCAATGGCTTGCTCCCTTAGAAATACGATACCCATCCTATCCAATTTTCAATATACGACTTCATTTTCAGAACGTCCGCACACACATAATTTCCATCTTCATGTTTACATGCCAAAAGGGCTTGAGTTGTTTCATATCTTTCAACTCGTGACATTGGAAGAGTCAGGAGGAGGAGGAGGTGGAAGAGTTGAAGAGAGACGATGTGTAGTTCTACCATTTCCTAAGGAAGGGAATACATTTTCACCTTGGCTTGAAAGTGGAAGACCATCTCCAAAAGACTGACGAAAACTATTTCCATAAGAACGAGGAAGACCATTATTATCTTGACTTGACATCTAATATTTGGGAGAAGAGAGAATTCAGGTTAGTTGATTTTAATCCTTAATTATTAACCCATAATTAAATTAAGGCTAGGATCCATATTTTCGATTCGACCTTTGAAGAGGGATGGCGTAATCAAATTCGAATGTATTTTAGGTAGGTAGAGTCATCTCACCAATTTCAATCACATGAAACTCCTAGATCTATTGATATTCATTGAATCTTATCAATGACATGTTTAATATCGATTATGCTCTTACCAATTGTGACTGGGATGCCAAGGATCACAATTAAGATGTAAATAACCATGCATACCCGCGCAAACACCAACAATCGATTTATGATCTCGCATTAATGTCTCGGTTAACCGTACACGCTCCATCAACAATCATAAACATGAGTTGTTTCACTATTTCACCTTTATAATACCAAATTAGTGTGCCGGTTAACCACACACGCTCCACTAACGAATCATAAGGAAACAATGTGCGTTTTCATGGAATAGCATACAATTTTACATTTTTCCTAAAGTAACTAGAGTGGGATTTATAAAAGGTTTAGTTACTTTATATTATCATACTTTTAATAGGTTATGTCCTAGCAAATCTGTTCCGCTAAAGACCATCCACCATACAAGGGAGCCGTGGGTGAGAGTGGACACCCATTTAACGGTCATTTTATAGGCCGCTTCCTTATACCCCCTTTAGAGTATCGCTTCGTGAATGAGGCGTACTAGCGATTTGACCGACTTATATTATACATATAATATATTAAACTTTTAATCATATATATCGTATAAGGTGTATTTTAAACTTTTTTTTAAATACGAGTGTTTAAAATTAATTTTTTCAATTAAACAATTAATAATAATTAATTTTAAACTAAACAATGATTTAATATTTTATCTTAATTAAACAATTAATTAAATAATTTCAAATCATATTATTTACCAATTAAACAATTAATTAAATAATTTAATCTCATGGACTAAATAATTATTTACCAATTAAACAATTAATTTAAATCATTCAAATTTAATCCTAAGCCCTTATACTTCTTTTGATCAATTCATTTTAGTGCACAATCAAATAGAAAACCTATGGCTCTGATACCACTGATGAGTTTTTCTAGGTTATATACAAAAAATTACATGTGGCGGAAAAACACTTAAACCCTTAAGTTCACATGCAACCTAGAAAGAATCTATGTTTTCTCTATTGATAGCAACTAACTATGAATATCAAGAAAACCCTGGGAGAGAGGCTATGAAATCGAAATTCATACATAAAATTAGGGTTACATACCTTTTGATTATTACTATAAATAATCAAAGTAGAATCCTTCTTCTAGATCTTGGAAAGCTAGCACCAAAGGAATTGATGCCTCTAATGGCGTGTACCCAAAACTCTAGTAGCAAGAATACTTGAGGAGAGAGGAGACTAGATCATGAATTCGGCTCTATGAAAGCAAGTAAAGGTGTGTATAAAATATGACATCCATGGTGTCCTATTTAAACTTGCTTAAGGAAACTCTCATGGAAACTAAAGAGTCATTTGAATGATTAATTCTAATTAACCTTAGAATTAAATCTGAATCAATTCTAATTAATCAATTAATCATAACTATTTCCAATTAATATATTAATCATATTATATGTTAATAAATCATATATTTTAATTTCTAATTAGTTTTCTTATTCATATAATAAACTAACAAATTATCCTTTATCTCCAACTGTCATTCTAATTAGTTACTAGTTTTTGCTTCTAATTCAAGAATATACCAATTTAGTTTTTGGCTTAGAAACCTTAATCCAACATTACCTTCATCGGAGATAGCATGCAATGAGCTCTATCGATGAATTCAGTTATGTTGTTGGATTAGATGTCTACGCCCATAACTATAATTGGTATATACTTGAATTGATAGTAGCACAATCCTTTTGGGTTGCACTAATAAATAACAACTAGACAGGATGACTTTTGGAGAGAGATTGAATATGTTATTTGAATAATAAATTGAGATAATTGATTTATTAATGTATTATGAAAATAATATATTAATTAGAAATCATATTATTTAATTAATAGTTAATCAAAAATTAAATGGAATTAATTTTGAGATTAATTGTATTAATTAAAAGTTCAGGGGTTGTTTGACAATTTATTGATAGTTGAGGAAACGGGCTCTAAAACCTCCTTAAAAGAGGTTGGACGAAAATCTCTAGGAAAGCCCTAGAATTTTCGTCAAAAGGCTCTTGGATGGAAGTTTATGGGCTGCTTGATACTTAAGCTAAGAAATTAAAGTTTCCTCCTAAACGAGTAACATAGCATTAACCATGTCCATTTAACAAGGCCTAAACGAGTAACATAGCATTAACCATGTCCATTTACCAAAGGGCCAATGGCCTAGCGGTATGGAGTGACCATCTCATATGAGAGGTTAGAGGTTCAAGTCTCGGTGGAGACATAGATGGTTATTTAAGAGTAGATTAGTTAGTTTGACGTTTAAAAAAAAAACCATGTCCATTTAATAAGGCCTAAAGCTTACTCCATAGGAACCTTATGGTCATGTTAGTTCATAGTTGTATACCAAAAAGACCGAAAACAAAACATTTTCACCAATTGAAACACACAAATCGAGGCATAAAACAGATCAAATAATCAAATAAGTTACTCATTACATCATTTAACAAACCACAAAATTACCCAAGTAACTACATATAAAACACCAAGTCCTTTTTTCAAACTCTATATCAAATAAAACAAATAATCGATTAGCCTCATGCTCATGATGAGTAAAGTAACCCCCACCCTTCATCTCCCCTCCGATTTCACCAACTGTGAGAAAACCTTACTCATCGACACCCCAGAAATATCATCCCCGCTCGACATCTCAAACTGAGCCGCCCCATCACCGTCACCATCACTGCCACGATTAAAGTCATGAATCACCGGCGACAACTCTCCGATCACATTCGTACTATTCTCATCCGGATCATTCTGAAGAACCGCTTCTTGAAGTTGAAGCACATATTCAAGATTCCACAAAACATCACCCATGGAAGGCCTATCAACCCCAAAATCAGACAAACATTTCTCAGCCGTTTCACCAAATTTCCTCAAAGAATCCGCCCGAATCTTCCCTTTCAAAGTCACATCAATTATCTGTTCAAGCTGCCCTTTCTTCTGCCATTTCATTGCCCATTCAGCCAAATTCACCATCTCACGGGGCAAAGACGGGTCAATCACGGGTCGAGCACACAACACCTCAAATAGAACAACTCCAAACGAGTAAACATCTGACTTTTCAGTCAACTGTTGACGCCTAAAGTACTCCGGGTCAAGGTAACCAAAACTACCTTTGACCGCAGTACTTACATGGGTCTGGTCGATTTCGGGCCCCGTTTTCGAGAGCCCGAAATCGGCCACTTTCGCCATTAGATTTTCATCTAACAAAATATTGGCTGACTTCACATCACGATGTATCACTGCCTTCGAATAACCCGTATGTAAATAATGTAACCCTCGGGCCGCCCCGATGCAGATTTCAAGACGTTGCTTCCAGCTCATGCTTGGAAAACCTGACCCGTATAGATGACTTTTTAAAGTCCCGTTTTCCATGTATTCATAAATAAGAATCATTTCGGATTTTTCATCACAGTATCCAATTAGGGAAACTAAATGGCGATGTCTGAATTGTGAAAGCATTTCGATTTCTGTTTGGAATTCGGCTAAACCTTGTTGGGATTTTGGGTTTCCTCTTTTCACAGCTACTTTTGTTCCATCGCTTAAAACACCTTTGTAGACTTTACCAAATCCACCGATTCCGATCACCCAGCTTTCGTCAAAATTGTTGGTGGCTTCTTGAATTGCTGCGAATGGACACCTGTAATTGAAGTTTGAGCCAGCACTAATGGTTGTTCCATTGGAGTATTTGCTGCCCATTGTTTGGGAAATCCCGTTGGTTGATAATGGAATCCAGATCTTTGATTGGTTGAGTTGTTCTTGTTTTCGTTTTTTGTAAACACAGAAGAAAACGATACCTGCTAAAAGTGCTACAAGAACTCCGACGACTACACCGATGATCAGACCGATGTTCTTTTTAGAGCTAGAATTGGAGGACGGGATGTTTCCACCGGAAAGACTACCGTCGGAATTACTCAACTTCATAATCTCGACGCCGTTCAGTATAGCGTTAGGGTAAACGTCTTTGATGGTGGAAGGGCCGATGCTGATGCGAATTTGGTTTTTGTTAAGCGATTGGGTTACGAAATCGGAGTAAGACGCCATGGCTAAGTTTCCGCCGAACTTGGTGGAGAGATCGTAATCGGGTAGAACATTGGAGTCGTCGATGTAGACGTTGAAGTAGAGTGTATTGGCAGAAGTACTTACGATATCGCAAAAATGGAGGCGGACGAGATACTGGAATCCACGATCCACCGGGAACTCCCAGGTGACGTTGAAATTGGCTTTTGGGTCGCTTTCAGATGCCATCGTTGCGGCGGTTCCATAGACGCTGATCGGAGCATCGTCTTGAGTAGCGCCGGCGGCTGGGTATCTAACAGCGGTGGGATTTGAAGCATTCGATTCAAAATTCCGGTTCTTTGAATAGCTCAGATCAGTAACCCAAGACCTCCACAATGAATCATTCCGGGATGTGACCACCGGACCACCCATGTTCACCCTAGCAAGCGTCTCCAGCGCCTTATTCAACATCCCTTTGAAGTTTGTCGGAGGGTTGACGGACATTGCATCATCGGGGATCAACGGATCTGGAACCGAAACAACTTCTAAACCATTCAAGAAAGCAAATGAACTCCCGGTAGGTGTAAAGGTGATTTCAAGGTCGCCGGAGGTGACATTTACTGAATATTCTTTGGTCTGAACACCTTCGGCTTTGAAATCGCTCAACAGAGAGTGATCTGGAGTTGAAACGGAGAAAACTGCGGTGGTTAGATTGTAATTACTGGCGGAGAATGGGAAGAAATAGAGACGGATCCAGTGACGACCGCTTTGAGTGATTCGAAAAGTGTATGTAGATGTTTGTGTAAAGATTCTTGCTGTTTTATACAGCGGAGAGTATTCAGATGAAGGAATTGAATTTGCAGAAGTATCAACCAAAACATTTTGTGGGGTTGAAAGAAAACTCGAAGCCAAACTATCAGATAAAAAGACCCGATTGCCGATGGTGGTGTTGCTCGGAGATCCACAATCAATCGAATACTTATCCGCCGGATTAAACTGAGAGTAACAAGAAGATAAACACAACAAGAACACAACCCCGATAAACAGTAGCTTCAACCCCACAAAACCCATCATAATAATTCGATTTCAGATGGGGGTTTTCACAATAATCGATAAAAACAAAAGGGGTTTGCTTCGATAATTAGAAATCTAGGGTTCTTGAACCCAGATCAGTAGCAATTATGAGATCTACTATCCAATACCCATATAAGATTGAAAGAAAATGAAACACCTGACAGATCAAGAACAGCAGATTTGACGAATTAACCAGATGTTAATTGATGCGCTGTGGAGAACAGAGAAGATATTGGGATTAATCAAAGCATAAATCTAGCGAGGAGCCAGCCAGGCCGGTATGAACAGGACGGCAAGCATCAGATGGTGACAGATTGATAGATTCGTTCGGGTTAACGAAAACGATTAATAAAATAATATGGAAAATCAGCTGTGTATTGATAGGATGAAATTTGGGGTCAAAGGGAAATGGTAAGAAAGTTTTGTTTTTTTCCTTTTTTTTCAAAAGGATGATGGAGATTGTTCTTGTTGGTGATGAGTAGTGGATGAAGATGAGTGTAAAGAGAATCGGAGAAGAAAAAAGATAAAATAGACAACCTCGGTAGAAGCCTGCAATGGCGGAATTAGACCAAAGGAAATGTTTTACTTAGTCACCTTTAACTTTCTAATTGCTCTATATAGGCCCCTTACACTTTTCTTAATTCAAATAAGGTCCACGAAAGCTGTTATTCGCTATAAAGTTTGGCCTTTTGTCCCGATTCTTATTCTAGCGTCGTTTGTTTCCGCATTGATTAGGGTTGTCCACCTTTTTTAAAACAATTAATATGAAACATAGAAATATAGATCGATTAAAAGAGTTGTTAAGTTTTATCGTTAGAAAAAACACATATACAGTATAAAATTTGTAGAAATAAAAAAAAATATAATACGGGTTGACATTCAATATATTAAATTCATTCGTAATAATGTATTACATCAACATGCTTAATGTATATGAAGTTCAAATTGTTCGGTAGATAATTTTTTTTTAATATAAAGTAGTAATTAATAGATGCATGATTTGAAGAAATATAAGTTTTACATGCCTTGTGAGGGAAAAATATATAATTAAAAGAGTTTAATAATAATGCGACAATCTATTTATAAATTAAAAATTCAATACATTCTAAGATAATAGTAAGTATTTTTATGTCGGTCCTTAAAGTTATCTTTTTATACAAACTTAAATTAAAAATTCAATACATTCTAAGATAATAGTAAGTATTTTTATGTCGGTCCTTAAAGTTATCTTTTTATACAAACTATCCATATATTTGTACAAAATATAACTGCAAGGACAATCTAGATAAAAAAAATCATATCTATATTAAGATTTCAATCAAATCAAAACCAATATTAGATTCTTGTTTACTTGAATTTAAAGATATTTAGTTAATGTATGCACGATTAAATGTAGATTATGTGAATATATCTTTTTACTCTATAGTTGCATATTAATGAATTAGCTATCTTTTGGTCGATGTGGTTTATAAAAAACTAGGTGTGAAACTCGTGTACTACACGAGTTTATTAAAAATAAAAAGTTTAATATTAATATGTAAACATTTAACATTTTATAAAGTAATTGAAAAAAGAAAGTAAATCGATGATTTGTAACATTTATGTGAATTTATTCTCAAATTAATAAAATTATAATCTTACATGAACATAATGATAATTTTCCATATATATAACCATAAATTCTGAAAATTTAATGTATGAATGAAAAACCTCAAAAAATAACAAGTGGAAAATAAAAAAAACAAAAAAAAGTCATATGGCGATATCAAAGAGAAGAATATCGTGTGACAAAAAAACATTCATTTATTAGAAATGATTTGTCATATAATTTGACAATACTTATTCTACAAATTTTTACATTGAGATATTTATTCAAATAATCCCTACCAAAAGAAATTTTCTACAAAAATAGTCCCTTGAACTTATAAAATAGTCTCTGTTTTACATTGAGAAAGAAGCGTCAGTAAACTTTTTGACGGACCCGCAGGATGGAAGGTACACACTTAGACCGGATGACATTTTGGTCTTTGGATGGATAGAAGGGAAGCATGTGTGCGTGGATCTTACTGGGGTCTCTCCTCTCGTTGGTTTGAGGAACGGGGGTTTCACAGCAGGGCATGCCGCTTTGAAAGCCGTTGCGTGCAAAGTGGTAAAGCACGAGAATGCATGTATAGAAAATCAACATGTGTTTGTACCTTTTGCATTCGATACATTTGGTTTGCTCGCACCAGAGGCGGTGGAGCTCTTCAACAGAGTCCAACGGGTCATGCATTCTAATGTCATATCTCCTAGATCCACAGATGTTGTTTTCAAAAGAATTGGTTTTGGCATCCAAAAAGGGCTAACGGCGCAGCTTGTTGCCCATTTGCCTTCAATCGATATGTATTGAACTATTTTAATCGAATTCAATATATATATTTCACAAGTTTGTAAAGATTGAAAAAAAAAATTCAAAAGAAAGTTGCATAAATGATCCTGAAAACAAATTACACTTTTAATTTATAAAATAGGTCCATATGTTGAATTCTTTCTACATGAATGATCTCTATGTTTCAGAAAAACTACATAAATGGTCCCTTCTTAATAACGAATTTTAAATCGGGTTCCTATTTTTCATAAAATTTAAATAGCATCCCTGTATGGTCACCATATATCACAAAACTATAGAAATGTTTCCTACTTTTCACAAAATTATAAAAATAATCCTTTTTAAAAAGTAAAATAACATAAATTAACCATATGTATCACAAAACTAGAGAAATGGTCACTAAATATTAACAAAATTGCAGAAATATTCCTTATCTAAGAGAACAATTAGGAATTTTTGTATGGAAATTTAAGATTAATAAATATGGTGCAACACGTAAGCCACCCCACTGATTTTAGTCTCTATTTGAGACATT